TCTCTATCTCTATCTCTCTCTATGCTTTCTTTACAGTACAGAAATGTAAAAAAGCATTTTGGTGAGAATTTGAGCTGCAAAAGCTCAAGATATTTTTATATCTGCAGCAGACAGGATCCAACCAGTTTAATAAAACAACTTTACCTCTGACCACCTGCGTATGGAGTTTTTCTTTCCAACGCCTTTCTTATTGTTACCATCCTCCTGTTGTGGAAAATCACAACGGCAGTATTGATAAAAGAAGTCACATTTATGGAAGCTTTTCAGACAAACTATAATATAGCTGGAATGTGTTGGTTTGCTTGTATAAAACTTCCATGGCAGATTCAGTCCACACACTTATACTTCAAATAACTTACCCTGGATTCTTGTAAATGTCCGTTCCTGTGCTTTCCCTCGGGCACAGAGGAAGTAGTGGATGCTCTTCTAAGCAGCCGGTTGACTTTGGTCTTTAGATGTTTCTTCTGCTGACAAAAGAAGACATTGTTAAACCACCACTGGATCATTTACTGTGCATAAATACTGATTCAAGATAGTGTACAAATAAACATACTTTGTATTCCATCCCATAGTGCTCCCCATCTTCATTCTCTCCTGCAGACGTGTGTAGATCTGAAAGATATTCCTGAAAAAACAGAAGCATTTTGGAAACGTCACAGCACTGCTCCTTTCCTTCGAATGTATTTGCACTACCTCAGAATCTCTCTGTATCTAAAGTCACCATTTAAAGCTTGTAAAAGATCACCCAGTCCCTTTAGATGCAATAATGCTGATCACAGATTTGGCTTTTTCATGTAGGGAAATGTTAACAGTAGGCTTGCTGACACATGCTCACATGATTTATATTTGATTCCAGACATTGTTACCTTTGATGATTTACGTGGGGTGGGTAGTGTCCTGCTCCTCCCCTCCTTTGTGTCATCAGATAACTTATCCTACAAAGAGAAAATCCTAATATTATAAAGACAAGCATGCAAACACAATATAAGCAAAGAAACTGTTTTGCATGGCTTCATTTACCTTTGACGATCTTCTGGAAAGTAGGGACATACTGAACTTTCTGTCCTTTTTCTGTCAAAGAAAAGGATGTTATATGAAATACTGGATATACTGATAACAACTGCAGAATGTCTAACAGTGACTGAAGAGGGCGACTGTCCGATAATACCTTGCTTTGACCCCCAGAGCCGTCCTGATCCTCGCCACTTCCTCCATCGGAGTCCGCCTTTGTCTAAGAGAAAGGTTAGATTTATTAGTCTTCTTTGGGATTACAAACAAACAGTGCTAACTAGAGAAATTCACTGTCTCTTACTTTCAATGATTCTCGCCGTAGTCTCAATGTTCCTGACTTGTAGAGAAAAACATAAATAAATAAATTAGCTGAGAACACTGTTGATAGTTTGAGGTGGTATACAAACATATTTAGAGAGAATGTGATGAAAGAATTGCATTTTTTATGTTTTCTTACTGGTTTGAAGTCGGGGTTTAGCTCAGGGCTGTCTTCAGGCCAATCTTCAACACACCTTTCCTGTTTTGGGATTTTAGTAAAGGAAACATTTATAGACATTTTTCCATAATATTCTAACATACAATGTACTCTTCTCTCTCTTCTAACGATGCTTCTCCTCCCTAAGAAACTGATTAATAATCGATTTACTCTTACACAACTCATACATCTTGTAAATGATATTGAAAATCACTTTCACTCAAAACACACCTGTCCAATAAGGAGGATGTCCTCAAATACGACATAGTTCTCCTGGTCCATCGGTTTACTTGCCTGTAAACAAGAAACAGTTTAAACATGCCCACAGAAACAGCTATGGAGAACCTTACATTGTTCCTCTTTAGATATCTGGAGTAATATCCTAGAAAATACTGTTCCCCAAGTTAATTAAGGCAACTAATAAAGTAAAATGTCAACACCGTGTGTACCTCGGTTTTTGGTTTGCCGTGAATAACTGGTTTTGGAGACGTTTTTGGCACAGGTGGTTCAGTTTCAATCTAAACGTAGAGACAAACACAAAGAAGCAAATTAACCGCACAGGAGTTACGATAGCAGAGAAATTATCGAGTTAAACAACCAGACGTGTGTTCTTTGCATACAGGGTTTGCTGGTATAGGTGGCTTTTCTGGTTTTGGAGGCTTTTCTGGCCTTGGAGGCTTTTCTGGCCTGGGTGGGTTATCTTTTCTTGGTGGTCTCGTTCGGGGAAGAGGCTTTGGGGGACGTTTGAAGGTCGTTACCTGCAAGTTTAATTATCAAAGAAGGTATTAAACGCATGTCATGTCACATAAATCAGTATATCAGTGTATCAATATTTATAGCAATTTGTTGACAAGATGAACCATACAATACAGTAGGATGCATGCACAATTTAAAGTACAATGTATGAGCATTAACTATTGATTTTATGGCTGTCCAAATATCAAATGGCACTTGTAACATACATGAGACATTTCAGCTGGAGACCGGCTTGAGTGCATGGACAGGTTACTGGCCCGGCTGAAGGGAGACGGCTGAAGAATATCATGTTTAGTTCCCTGAGGAGTCGTCAAGACAATATCATGTGGCCCGTCAAAAGACTTTGGTTGGATGGCTGGGGGAGTTCCTGTTGGCATTGCCTTGAAGAGATCTGGTGAGGACGATAGCATGTCCAACTTCATTTCTGACGGACTGCTGAGTGAAGGTGTAGAGTATGTGGCCTTAGAGGCTGTATCACTGGGGTTCATCTCAAATATATTCCTGCTGTTAGCCTTTGAGGGAAGCGGTTGGAAGATGTCTGGAGTCCCATTTGAAACATCTTGGAAAGGGTCGTATTGTTTTGAGCGAGGAGTACCAAATGGGTCGTCCAAACTGGAAATGTCTTCAAATAAATCCTTTGTAATTGGACTTGGGAATGGGTCGAATGTAGCTGTGGATGAAGAAGAAAATTTGTCCTGATTTCCCTTAGAGGACATGCCAAAATGGTCTTCTATGGTAGAGGGATCGTGTTTGTTTTCCCTGGTCTGGAAGAGTCCCCCACTATTAGTTGGAACTGCTTGAAACAAATCTGCTTCATTGGTTTTGGCAGTATGAAATGGGTTCGTTGCCATAGGCCGTGGAGACCGGAACAGATCATCCTCCTTGTTTGAAGGAGATTCGAATGGGTCTACAAAAACACCGGGAGATTTATCAAAGATGTTCACCTCCCTAGTGCGCTCAGCATGGAGCAAATCTTCTCCTGTAGCAGCCTGGAAAAGACTGACCCCTTCATCTTTAATCAGGTCAGAGCTTTTTAACTGCAAGGCTTTGGAGAGGTTCTGGGTTTGAGTGGGAAGTGTATTAAATAAGTCTGGTGAGTTCAGGGTCACGTCATGAAAATGGCCATTGGCAGGTGAGTTCTGGGCCGATGCCGATGCCTGGAATTGGCCCTTCGTACAGTTGGGGGTAAGGGCCTGGAACAGGTCCTTTTGAGGTTCAGAAACGTTGGCTCCATTTTCCACAGTCTTAATCTCAGTTTGAAGATCCAGAGGTGAACTCTGAAAATCAGGCGGAGGGATGAAGATGGTATTGAGGTTTGCTTCTGAGGTTTTCCTCTCTTCGTCCTCCATTACAGGACTTTTGCTGCCCGATTCCTGGTAACAGAACACAGGGTCATAAAGAATGTATTCAATGACAGTGATGGTACTTAATGTAATGTTGGGATCTGGTTTTAAAAGCAGATATCCTTGTACATACCAAATGATATGTGTAAAAAGGGTTCATTCTGGTCAAATCCCCATTGTCTCCATTCTAATAAACAAAAAAAGGGAAATGACACATGAGACCAAGAAGTGTTAGATTTCACTGGACTGCTGACAGAGATTCAAGCGGAGTTAAGCTGGCATCTAAAAACATACCTGAGGGTTCCATAGACTTAGACAGTGACACAGCAGAAATGTTACTTGTTAAATAATTATTGGGGGATGGCGGTGCAAATAATAAAAAGATAAAATGAGCAAAATATGTAATTAACTTTTTGTCTCAAGGACTGGTCAAGACAAAATATTATATCTTCCAAAATAATTCATCTAAATATGTTTTTAGGTTTGGATGCTGATTATTTTTTTTCCTTTCTATTTTCATTTATGTGGCTACAAAATAGTGTAGGTGAACTGTAGGGACAGAAAAATGCATAACTAGAGCTCTCAGTATCTTTTCAGAAAAGTCAGCAGCTAATGTGGCAGATGTTGCTGCTCTTTGCGCTCCATTTGTACATTTCAGACTCATGACTTATTAAGTCTAGTCAGACTGCTTATGCACAAACACACCTAGATGTTGCAGAGATCTCACAATAACTGGTAGCCACATTGTACTTTAAAGATAAAGGGTGTGGATCTAACCTTTGCCACAGTAGGAAGATGATGATTATCCTCCGTCTTTACACCGTTCCAGGCCCTTTCCCCCAACTGTACGACAAGGACAAGGAAGATTTGTGTTAATGAAAATGTGAGCCTTAATTTCAACCATGGCTTTATGGATTCTGAATTAACACACTATTGTAAACTTAAAAGTGGCCCATTTCATGTGGCAAAATTGAAGCATTTCTGCTAAATCTCGGCTGTGAGTTGTGCCGTATGTGGTTCTTGCAGATGTTTCTTCTCACCTGGCCTAAGTGGAGCTGGTGGTTGTCGGTCACATCTGTAGCAGCAGATGAGAGACCAACAAGGAACTCACCATCCTGTGGACCACACAAAAGTCAATGACGCTGAACAAACAACAAAACTTATTTTGGAGGCGAGTGTGGGAAGTCACGCATGTTGCTTGTCACGCATTTTGAGTTGCTGAGATATGGAAGTCATGTGTCGCATGTCAGTTATGTAAACACAAATATGAAAAGATACAGTAGGCATTTCTACACCAGCTGTTGGGTTTTGCTGCTACCGCTGCATTTAAACAAAGACAATATTACTGAGTGTGTTAAAAATACGTATGGCTTTTCAACAAAGATCCCCAACCTGCACTTTAGTGTGTGTGCGGAGCTGAAAGCTGTTGTTACCGGTGGTCTCTAACCTGTTTGTTTTGAGACTCGTTCGCAGCTGATCCACTAGAGTCAGAGGTTGATGATTCAAGAGTCTGAGGGGAGACGTAAAGAAAAACAAATCACATTCTCATAAAAAGGAATCTAATGTATATGTTCCTTCTCTTAATATTCATCCACAAACTGGAAAGGTAGGTCAGGGGAGACCTGCTAACTCCTTCACTGTATTGAGGCTGAATGGGGATTAGGTGTGTGTTCGACTTGTAAAAACAAAGTGGATGTATCTGGCAGTCTGTCATTTTGTACTGTGACTCAGTGTGTATGTGAGTGTTTGTGTGTGTTTGTGTGTGTGTGTAGTGTGTGTGTGTGTGTAGCCACTCACCTTGTACTGATTATGGAAAGGGCTTTGGGAAACCTTCTTCAACATATTTTGTAGCCTCACAAGACTCTGAAGACAAGACACACAGAAAATCCACTTTTCTTTGATGTCACTGTGAGCACATCGGGCCTAAAATATCCACATGTTCAAGTCATAGCTTAAAGAAGAGAATAAAGTTTTGGGGTCTACAAAATAGGTACAGAATTGAGGCCATTGCAATGTGCGCA